ATTGTAGACATTGGACCTTCCATATCTCGAAAACGACCCCTCAAATGCCTGATCACCACCCGGATTCGGAATCTACGCAAAATACTGTAGAAAAACTTGGTCTCATAAATTCACAGCACTGCAAGAGGTATTAATATCACCGTGTCAGATGGAACTGAACTTCATACAGACTGTCGCCAAAGGCACCTGAGTAAAAAAAGAAATAAAACTCTCACTTGCAAAGAAAAGTTGACGAAAGTAAAGCAGCGACAACAAATTAAGTTCACGCACTTTAATAGGACATTTTGATAACAAATCTGATTGTTTATTTTGTGGAACGAAGGTGTTGGGGTCAGATTCAAAATACACCCCCGGGAGTTCCAAATTCTGTTTAGTCACGACGATTGATTTGTGGACTTTCAAAAGTTCCAAACGTTCTGATAATTGGGCGCAAACTGTTACTGGGCGCTTAACGTATTATAATGGACACGATCTACATGCGGCCGACTGTGTATACCACTCGAACTTTCGAACGAACAAAGGTATACCAAATAAATATCAATCCGACATGTCTGCCGGGCCATAGAAAAAACAAAGGAATCTTGGTAGGCCCAAAGGCATGGACAAGAAACAAGCTTTTCTTAAAGTGTGTTCATACCTTGAAGCTAATGATGAGGAGCAATTAGTTGTTTCTAATTTGACAAGTAAAATGAAAGAATATTTAGAGAATAAAGAGTCTGCTCCATATGGTAATTATTATCTCAAAAGAAAACTGAAAGCACATTATGAAGACTCATTAGTATTTTCAGAAAATATGAGGGATAGCGGAACAGATTCTTCGGTCATATTTCAAAAATGTACCAAATGGGGATGATGACTCCAAAAAGAAAGAAATTATAGAAACTGCTGCTCGTTGATAAAAAGTGATGTAAAGACCAGTGTGTCTTCAAACGATGCCGTTTATCCAGAACCACCAGAACTGAAGCTCATACCTGCACTAAAGTACATTCCTGATTCCCTTCGGTATGCTACTTGATTTACTCTTTGTAGGAAAGAATTCAAAACAAAAGATAGCTAGCACTGGTCAATGTATTGTCCAAGCTATTCGGCCGAGGGCTGTATTGGCCCCCGTTACAAATTGGGCTCTCCGCTCAGATGTATCATATGTATCGGTCCAAATTTCTGATAGATACCATCTGGTCAATGGGATTTGGTAGTTCAGATTCAGAAGTGCAAGGGTTTGAAAAAAACAAAACAACGCTGATACCGTTGCTCCTGACATACTGGGTACTGGTGCAGAGCTTCTAGACACGAGCTTGCTTTTCGCTGTCGATAACGTTGAAAATAACATATTGATGGCCAGGGTACTTTCCATGGGATGGAAATGATAGCCGCATTAACACCAGGCCAGCATGTTAGTCGTACTGTCCCTAGAAAAAACAATTGTTGAAATTGTTGAATATCGCTTTGCTAAGCATTTGTACCATTCAGTAGTAGTCTTTAAAGAATTGCAAATACCCGAGGTGTCATTGATATATTGTGGGAACTATCTTTCACCTATAAACAACCAGTACCCCAGTGGCAAGGCATGATGCATTTGATTCATAAAGACTTCCAGCATCCAGGACAGTCATCCATAGTTTTCCTGCCAATGATTGACTTGTATCCTGGTGACAAATCATGAATTTTGTCTACTCCGGAGTACCTGCACATCCTTGCCCGTAAGAGTCATATACCAACCATCGTTACTTTTGATCAACCTTTATATTGGAAGGCATCCGATATCCTGCATGACTCGCACAAGAATAGCCACCTGAGAGATATCACAATTCGACTAGGGTGTTTTCATACCATTATGAATCTGCTAGGAGCAATTGGAACCATTATGAATGGCTCTGGACTGGAGACTCTTTGAGGAGGTCTATGGAGAGACTGCGGTTGTGCATATGGGAGATGGGAGATAACAACTCTATATGCCAATGCCATACTTCCGATAAATTGTCCTGTGCAGCTAGTGTAGTCAACCTAGCCCGACAAATTGTACACACCAATAATAGACACTTACCTGAAAAATGAACATGTATTTTGGGATAATTTATTCTCTGAACAAATTAAATTACTTTAAAACCCCATAGTTACCGAATGTTGATTTCACGTGTTTGTCTACATAAAGAATTCCACTTACATCCGTCCGTTACTGTTGTTTTTGATAAAGAAAAGTTTCAAAGCATCATACATCTTCTCAATGATAATGCTATATTTGAGGATGGGGATCAAATAATACAGCAAACTATTGGTTTACCAATGGGAACTGACCCCGCCCCCATTTATGGAAATGCACATTTATATAAATATGAATTCTGCTTTCAGGATCATAAACGAAAAACTGATTACAAATTAGCTAAAAGTCTAAACTATACCTTCGGTATTTTCGACAAATTGGACAAATTTGGTTTTAAATTAGTAAAATACCTATCAATTTATAGTAACATACCAGATACCACGCTATATAGTGTGTTCTATTCACAAGCATTACGATTGTTGACAATATGTAAAGATAAAGAACTATTTCTTTCCTGAATAAAATCTCTTTATTTTAAGTGCACTGCCAAAGGCGGTACACAATTACGCATTTTAAAAGAAATTTTGAAACTTCCATTTCTTCAACATACTAAGTCTGACATTTCTTATGACCACATCTCCAACTTTACCTGAGCAATAAGGCTCCTTCCCAAACACAGAATTGAACACAGGAAATGTTCTCAAAAACGCAACCTGACTTCTGAGATGGTAATATGTTCCCCGTGATTTTTATGTAACTCATGCTTCACGTGCTGTTCACCGGGACCAGCCCTATAAAATGCAGCCCCATACCTGGTTAAATTATTCACACTACAACGTCAGCAGTATGCCACGACTCACGACAGCTCAGAGGAACCAGGCGCTTTTAAGATTCGACGCTGGCCACACTGCCGAAGATGTTGCCAATCACTTCCAGGCCAATGTTCAGGCTTCAGCAACGCTTTCGGGCCACCAACACCACGAATGATCACCACCGAACTGGTAGACCAAGAGTTACCAGAAGGCGACAGAACCGCCAAGTTGTGCGACAGCACGTGCAGAATCCCTTCACACAGGCATATAAGACAGCACGTCAGATAGTGGGAACGCACGAAAGTGCCGATACAGTGCGCCGGAGTCTCACCAGACAGAACATCCATTGCCGTAGACCTTACCGTGGGCGGAACCTCGCCCCTCGCCATCGACGTGAACGTCTATAGTTTGCCAAACAACACCAGAACTGGCGATACAGGCAATGGGGAACTGTTATGTTCACAGATGAGAGTCGGTATTGCGTATCAACTGCAGATGGCAGGACCAGAATGTGGCGTCGACCTGACCAGCGTAATTCTGACCAATGTGTCATGGAACGAGACTCATGGGGAGGTCCAAGTATAATGGTTTGGGGTGGAATCGGTCTGAACCAGAGAGTGGATTCTGTGTTGTTCCAAAATCTTGGTCCAGGGAGAGGAAGCGGAATCACAGCAGTGCGCTACATCGATTCAGACCCCACGTCATACCGCATTTCGCAGGTCATCGAAACAACGTTTTCCCGTGCTCACACCGCCAGAGTTACTCGGCACTTTCTACAGCAGAACGGTGTCAACGTTATGCACTGGCCAGCCCTTAGTCAAGATTTAAACCCGATTGAACATCTTTGGGCTGAAATTCAGGGGAGACTTAATAACATCGTAATGAGACCAAACACAGCCGATGGATTGCGCCAGGCTTTTCTCAGAGTGAGGTTCCAGGTGCCAATGCCGTTCATCAATCGTCTGGTCCACTCCATTCACAGACGCTGCCAGATACTGATGTTTAGCTGTGTACAGACTCTAAATCTTCTCGTAATGTCTTGAAATTGTGATGAATTATTCACTAATGTGTCAACATACTGTTCACAAAAAATTGCTTTGATCCATTTAGTAAGTCGTTTTCTAGAATGATTTGATTTAAGTGCCTCTCTGATTTTGAAATCGTACTGACGTTTTTTTGTTGTTTTTTTTTTTTGGGGGGGGGGGGTGCTGTTTAGTATATTTACATACCTTGAAAAACGATACAAGTTGGATGGTATGAGGCTCTGTGAAGTGATGGGGAGGGATATTTAAATTCCAGTTATCATGCTACACACAACTGAAAAGCAAACTAATTTCTCCTTTCAAATCTATAAATTATTTTCTGACAAGTTCACATTTACCTACCTTGAAAAGTTACATCGTACTATAAAAACTCCCTGTTAAGTGATTTGAGTGGTTATTTAATGTCAAAATACTGATCCTTATACGAAATTCCAGATATCAAGTTCCTTACCAATGCAAAGTATTAATCTTTTCAAATCCGTAAATTATTTTCCGACACATGTATTAGCAATCACGTGATTTCATTACGTTCGTCTGATCATAGATTGTGTGCCAAGTTGATTTCAGTCGACTTCCGTTAGCCTCACTTTCCATGTGTACAGAAAAATCGCTGAAAGTGAGGATTTCTCTTTACAGCACGGAGCCGGACATTGTTTACACTCAGTCGCCGCCTTTATATATTAACATCATGTCCAAAAAAACCTGCCATTTGCAAGCTGAATTTACAAGAGCGGTTGATTGACTTAAGACGAAGAGAACCCCTGTTTGTACGCCAGAAAGTAAACATCCCGTTGGCACTCATGTCCGCACTTCTTGCAAGAAGAAACGCCGCGGAAAAGCGCGCTTTCGGTGAGGATCTTTGTTTTCAAAACAACGATTGGTTGTTGTTAGATATTACATTTTAGCCACACAACTACACTTAAGCATATTTCCTAATCAGGGCTTCAATAACGCAGAATGGGGGAATCGTGTGATAGCGCACGATTGTGAAATAACGTGTATATGATTATCGTGGTCAACTGGCGTAACGTTGTTAAATCTGTGCTCTGCTGGGTTTTTGTTATTGGAGGGTAGCAATATATTAATGATAACTATAAATATTACCTAATGTACAACTATATGGCGCCCTCTCATAGTTATTAATGAGATTATCCATGGCACTGAGTAACGAAGATCTTGTAGCTAGATCACATGGTTGTAACACTCTGTCTAAACAAGCTATAAAAATATCCACTTGTCTGAAATGTTAAAAACATATACATTACAATAACATTAGAATTGTAAATAAGGTTGATGGCCTACGGAGCTCAATGAACGGGCCTTTTTGTAAATCAACGGAATGATAAGGCGTCGAGACGAGTATGCGTAAATCAGTGTATGCAGCAGCTTCCAGACTACATATCACTATTTCTGAAATTTTAAAAACATATACATTACAATAACATTAGAATTGTAAATAAGGTTGATGACCCACGGAGCTCTATGAACAGGCCTTTTTGAAAATCAACGGAATGATAAGGCGGCGTCGAGACGAGTATGCGTAAATCAGTGTATGCAGCAGCTTCCAGACTACATATCACTATTTCTGAAACACTTACAGTAAGCTTATTTACAATAACTTATGCTTATGCTTTATTCTAGACATCTTGAAGATGCACTTCCACGAAAGTATTAAAAGGGCAGCTATTTCCAATAAAAGTGTGGCATATCTTGTGGACAGAAGAGACTCTCAATCTTACTATAAAATTGATGGATTACCTAATGGGAGGCCCACAGGACGAAAATGGAAGGGTGTTACTAACACAAAAGGCTAATCCAATATGGCGGCCAAAATCCAAAATGGCGACAGCAATTAGCGCGTGTTAAAATAGGAACTAGAGTCCACACTGATCACGCGACAGCTTATCGACACGCGACCTTGTCAGCCATGTTAGTTCCGGGGAGTTTGAACGTAAATACCCGGTGCCATTATAGTTAATTGTATATGTTACAAGTCCCTTCGTTCAATACCAGTTCTCGTGATACGAGACATCCTGGTTATGGGTATTGTAATGGCGGTATGTCAATTAAATTATCAACAGTTGCCGCTGTCTATGTTTGTTCCTGTAGTGCCCCCTACTAATCTGTTGTGGTGGCTGATTGTACAAGTGGATCTATTCCTTACGTCTACGTGAACTGCAGGACTCGGCAAACAAGAAAAAACAAGAAATATCAACAGGCAGGTTGCAGTGTACTGCAAATAGATTTCTGTTGGCTCGCGTAGAAGCGCGCCATCTTCTTTATAATTTTCAAGACGAACCCCCATCAATACGCCCCAAAGCAACGTGTTTTGATAGAATCCAGAGAGAGGATTGTATTCCATTTTTATTTCCGGGTTGTTTTTTTTCCAAAAATTGTGTATATTTGATATTATAAAAAGTAGACAATTGATATAATATTGTCCAATAGACATGTCCTGAGATCATTAGGACCCAAGACGCGTTAGCGTCGCGGGTTCTAATGTAAAATTTCAGGGCATGTCTATTGGACAATAACACCCCTCTAAATGCGAAACAGGAGGTGTTTATCGATATTGTAACATGCTATTTTTTAGAATTTTTAAAGAACTTGTGTTAACTTCAAAATTCGTCCCACTGCAAATCGATTTTAGTGACGTAAAAACCAAAGAAATCAATTTTGAAGTAATGAAAACGTCGTGACGTAGGGGGGTAACTGGTTGCTCATGTTAGATTTGGCTCGCTTATCGTCTGGTTGCTATAGTAGCCGTATGAGTTTAGACACACAAAAAAAACATAAAATTCTCACTTCATTTTTTTAAAAGTACTTTTTGAAACAAAATTTATGTTTCTGTAATAGATTTTTGAATATTTTGTGGTTTGTAGCTGTTACCTGACAAGGGGGTTGGCGTTTCAAGTTCATCTTCGGACATATCTCCAAATATTTCATCTAATGTACCGAGATCAAAATTGATTGTCTTCCGTTGTGGTTATCGCCATTAAAGTAGTACGCATAATATTAATACGCAGTGATTTTTCTAATTTAGAGGGGTGTTATTGTCCAATAGACAGTGTCTAATCGACCAATCAAAACGCAAGATTCACTCTTAAGCATGTTACAATATATAATATATATAGCATAATATTGTAATTATTTTGAAATGTTTAATTTGGGTTTAAATTTGTCAATAAAATATTGTTCCTTCAATCTCATTTTCATGGGATCTGAATACGGCATCTTAAAGAAAGGGTATATTTTGAACTCGCTTTTACCGCAAATATCAAGGTGCTCACTTTAATAGTAAGTGCACAGGACCGCACCACACGCAAAACAAAAATCCACAAGATAAACCTGCGGACAAGACAGAAAACAGACATTGCACCAAATAAACAAATATTAAATCAAGTGAATGGATCTTGGGGCCAGCCGTAAGCGTCCACTGCGCTGTACAGTCCCGGGCCTGTAGTGACACAGACTTCACTCAAATTTGAAAATAATCAGGAATACAAAAATGACGTAACAGAAATAATGCCACCAAAGGGATCTTCCTTAAATTTGGATCCCTATTATGTTGTCGATGTACAGTTCGGCACAGCCATTACATTTTATGACATATAATACATGAGTTACTTTACAGTTCATACTTTCATTGACAAAAAATTCTTTTCCACTGTCAAATATAAATGATTTACTTTCAATTAAATATCTACACGTGCCGCAATTATCCCTTCCACTTTTTACAACTTCCTTAATTGGACTGAATGATGAAAATTTAGCCCTAAAATTTGTGTATGAATAAGTTTTTTCAATTTTTTATCTTGTTGAAGTAGTGGAAAATGTGTTTTAATTACGCTGGAAAAATTAGGATTGTGAGGATTAAAGGTGGTGACAAATGCAATTATATTGTGATTTGTATCTTTTATCTTTACCTGCCTTAATTCTGTTAACGGTATTTTACTAGCCCTTTGAATTCCGTCATTAATTAATGCGGAGGGATATTTAGTCCTTGGATATTTAGAATTAACCATTGCTACGAAAGTAGAAGAAACATATATATATATATATATATATATATATATATAGAAAAATGAGGTTTCTAGAAAAGAAAAACTAATTTCATCTTAGCTAGCGCTTTCACCCACTACGGGGATCATCAAATATATATATTTGCATTATACTAAAATCCATTTGGAAAGTAATGCTTAACTTTTAATGTTATTCATTTCTAACTAAATTGAAGTCAAAGTACTGTCATGACATGTACTTATAAATGTGATCTTAAATTGATCATTAGTAATACACAATATGGTAAAGATATTTGATATACACGTTTCGAAAGACTGTAAGAAAGCAACAATGGAAATTTATGAAAAGCCATACAACAGTTAACTTGTTATTGAAAATACTTGAAAGATTACTTATAAACAGTCTATGAATAACGTTATTATTCACAATTTATCCGAAAGTTATTCCATTTAAATATATTAATATTATAATCTATTATATGTTATCTTGGAATTTTCTTAAAGAAATAATTAAGTGTCGTTTACGGTGGGATTTTGGAGTGGAGGTGGCTGTAAACAGATCGGCGTCTAACAAAGTTTGTTGTCTTAAGGTTGTATTTGGCCCGAGCAGGATTATCTAGTGAATTATGAATCGAAACCGGCCTACTTTTATGGATTAACTAAAATCTACAAAAGTAAAGAAATTCAGCAACAAGTAGAGAAACAGAATTCCGAGGTAATAATATAGGCCAACTAAACAGAAAAAAAACGTCAGTACGATTTCAAAATCAGAGAGGCACTTTAATCGAGTCATTCTAGAAAACGACTTACTAAATGGATCAAAGCAATTTTCTGTGAACAGTATGTTGACACATTAGTGATTAATTCATCACAATTCCAAGACATTACGATACGAAAAGGTTTAGAGTGTGTACACAGTCTATACATCAATATCTGGTGTGTCCACCGCGAGTGTCAATAACAGCAGCGCAGCGTCTGTACATGGAGTGGCCCAGACGATTGATGAACGTCATTGGATCAAACCAATTTTCTGTGAACAGTATGTTGACACATTAGTGATTAATTCATCACAATTCCAAGACATTACGATACGAAAAGGTTTAGAGTTTGTACACAGTCTATACATCAATATCTGGTGTGTCTACCGCGAGTGTCAATAACAGCAGCGCAGCGTCTGTACATGGAGTGGCCCAGACAATTGATGAACGCCATAGGCACCCGGAACCACACTCCCAGAAAAGCCTGGCGCAATCCATCGGCTGTGTTTGGCCTCGGTACGACGTTATTAAGTCTCCTCTGAATTTCATCCCGAAGATGTTCAATCCGGTTTAAGTCCAGACTAAGGGCTGACCAGTGCATAACGTTGACACCGTTCTGTAGACGTTCACGTCGATGGTGAGGAACGATCTACCGTAAGGTCTACGGCAATGGATGTTTTCTCTGGTGAGACGTCGGCGCACTGTATCGATACTGATGGGTCTTCCGTGTGTTCCCACTGTCTGACGTGCTCTGTCCGATGCCTGTGTGAAGGGATTCTGCACGTGCTGTCGCACAACATGGCGGTCTTGTCGCCTTGTCTACCAGTTCGGGGGTGATCATCCGTGGTGTTGGTGACCCGAAAGCGTTGCTAAGGCCTGTAGATGTCCGATCTGGAAATGATTGGCAACGGCTTGGTCAGTGTGGCCAGCGTCAGGTCTTCCAGGCGCCTGGCTCCTCTGAGCTGTCGTGATTCTTGGCATGCTGCTGACGTTGTAGTTTGAATGATTCAACCAGATATGGGGGTGCATTTTATAGGGCTGGTCCCGGTGAACAGCACGTGTAGCATGAGTTACATGAAAATCATGGAGAACACATTACCATCTCAGAAGTCAGGTTGCGTTTTTGAGTACATTTCCTGGGTTTAATTCTGTGTTTGGGAAGGAGCTTTTTGCTCAGGTAAAGTTGGAGATGTGGTCACAAATATACAATAACAACTTTTGGCAAGTTTTATGCAATCCGTCTATTCAGATTAACATACCAAACTGACGTTGTTTTTTTTTTGCGTAAACAATATTTTATTTCAGAATTTATGAAAAGGGAACAGGCAAAGCCTATATCACCCCTCTCCTCATACAAGGAATATAAAACATATAATATACAGATCTCCTATGTACATATTATAAAATAACGGTGAAAATCATATAAGTTAAATAATTTATATACACATTATTTAAAAA